ACCCTAGATATATCGCTCAATCTTCTTATATTCAGGGGTTACAAGTGCTGGACACATTACTGCAAGATCATTAAATCTAGCGGTAAAATCTTTTATCTCTGAACCCTTCATGGTTAGGGTCCACAATTCTTGTTCCAACTTATGTATTTCCTCCCTAGGACAATACTCCTCTACTAGCATCATTTTTAGGTCTTCCCATTTCATGGAATTTGCAGTATCAATTCCCATTGTATTCACATGGTTGTTCCACCATGTAAGTGCTGCATCGGCGAAAGTACATGCTGCAAATCATACTTTACAATCGTCTGGACAAAAACTTATTTGAAATACGGACTCTGTCTTTTCTATCCACCTAGTCAAATTAACAACCCCTTCATTTCCAAGAAAGCTCTTTGGCCTGCAATTTATAAAGTCTTTGTTGGTACACATTCTAGCGGTCCCTACATTGCCTTCATTTCTAACTCCACCTCTTGTGACATTAGATAGAGCCGCAACAATTCTTTGAGCTATGATTTCTTCTAGTTATGCTGTACTCATTGGGGGGTTTGGTTCTGGTGGTTGTTGTTGTGGTGCTGATCGTTGGTTAGGGTTTAGCCGAGTACTACTCCTTCTAGGCATTTTGTTATAGTTCCTATTATAAATAATAATAATTTTATAAGTTTCATGAAGAATTAGTCATTTACTACACGAGTACTAAATACTTGAATTATTCTTCAAAGTGTAAAACATAATGGATAACACAATGATTACCGTAATATATGCTTCATATTATTACCGGTGGTTACATATGTTTATTTTTAGGCTTATAAGAGAAAAGTTTCTATAAATATTACAAAATTCGCAAGGTTTTCTACATCCTTGCTATAAACTTTACTCTTCTTGCCTTAACTAGTCTGATTTCTGTATTTACACAACCACTAGTTTTAACTTATCTATCAGTAACCTAGGTGATGACCTAGCACGTCAGTGACATTAACCACTTGCTCCTCCAGGGCATGAGTTCTCTGCTCAAGACCTCTTGTACGCTCCTCGTTTCTCGAGGTTTGATTGTAAAGCTCTAACTCTGCAATCCTTGCATCGTGAGTAATCATGTTGTTATAAGCGAAATTTATACGATGATGGACATCCATCATCGATTCCTGATCTCGTGTCCTTTGTCCTTCTAGCCTTCGTACTCTTCCGGATAGATGAGTAGCCCTTCCTTCAACAATTTCCATCTTATCTTCAATTTTTCACACTTTTCTCAAACAATTGAGATAAAGTGTTAACTTTAAAAGAATGTGGGGGATGTGGTCGAGATGATTGACCAGTCTCATACATCTTAGCAGCTCTTTCTTCTGCCACCCACCTATCAACGGTTTGTGCTATCCGTGCAGGTTCATCTTGAACTCTATGACTTCCTGAAGATGTCGCCTTCTGATTCTTCTTAATCTTTTGCCATATCGGTATGGATTTACGTGCGTGCGTTTCATCTTCGCCTCTCCTGGAACTTGACGGTAAAGAGTGTTCATTGGTGGTAAAGATGATGCTACTGATTCTGTCTCCTCCATTGGCTCGCTCTCTTCCATTGGTTCACTCTATTCCCATTCGTTGGAAGGTAAAGGTGCTCCATCATCCGAAGGTATTGGATGAAAGGTGGTTGGATTTATAGGGTAGTAAGGATCGCCTACCATCATGGGGAATGAAACTTCCTCTTCTTCATCCGTATCCTCGATGATTATCCATTCTCGTGAATGTGCCATGTCGAATTCCTATACATTTTGGATCACCAAGAGTTTAGTCTATCAAATATTACTCCCAAATTAAATAGTTCATATGATCTGATCATAATAAAATGTATTTGCGCACCTACACCTAGTTGTGATAGGATATACGTACATATAAACTTTAGTTGGAATACTTGATCTAAATCCTTGAGATAAAAAACATTATGGGTATTAAGGTGTATTCTCATCGCGGGTCTGAGTCTTTATATATGACTCTATATTCTTATTTATTTTATTTACGCTTTAATTATTGTTTGTTACTTCAGGTCTATCTGATAAGGCTCCGGCCAGTCAGGACAGTCGAAAGGGCAGGATCATTTTAGCATATAGCCGTTCTGGAATCCAGCAACCCAAATCGACATGTCTATCCTGTCACCACTCCCGTAAGTAGTCCTTCAGTAGAATAATTAATAATACTTTTTATTGTAGGCTAAGGGATATACCTAAACCTAATAGAGTAAGCCCTAAACTATAGACGTGCTTTCCTAAGAAAGTACTAGTTCACTATAGTTAATAGCTCTAATACCAATCTGTCACACCCCGGCCGTCGGCGAAAACACCGAGTGGTGTAACATCATTCTTCGTATCATAGTTATATAACATACATTGAACAGTACTAAAGAAAATACATACCTTTATTGATAATTGAAAGTTACATAACTGTTTTTTTCTAGAACCTATTACATAATATCCGACTATTGTATACTTCTTAACAAACAGAAAGGTAATAGTAAAACTTCTCCTGTTTGAATACATACCAGCTTTTCAATTTCCTGAAAACACATGCATTTAAAAATACATCAACATAAAGTTGGTGAGTCCACAGGTTTTGACTCCATAAAAATAATACCTTTTCCAAGTTCAAAAGTATAGTTTTGAAAGTATCATTTTGACTCTCCAACATTTAGTATATATATTAGGTATAATAGTTTACTTATCAATTAAGTGTTATACCTAAACATTTCTTGAGCCTAAGGTATAAGTAGGGGGAAACTTATACTTAACATTAATACTTGTATACGACAAAGTATAATGTTTCTAAAAATTTGCTACCATGAGCCTGTAACCGCTGCTACGACACAATACCTCTGATAAAACACACTCATGATTTCCATGAGAAACAATACGCTCATGATTTCCATGAGAAACAATACACTCATGATTTCCATGAGAACAACACCGTACGCTTCATCGATGCCGGAACAATAACAAGTAAAAAGGATAGTTCGTCACTTGCTTATGGTTGACTGTAGCTAACAATCACAAGTGGGGTTTTCAACCTGTATACTAATTATACAAGACTTCCTCGCTCACACGGGATTAACGGTTACAGTTCAGAGGATTTCCACTAAGATCCCCAATCTTAGTTGATGAATACAATTACTCATGTAGACTTCAACGGCTTCCTATAGCTCTAACAACAAAAGCATTTTCGTGTCTAAAACCCTAAGCTACTAGACTATGCTTTTAAACATTACTCCTAACTTCATAACATTTAGGCAGTATAACAGCTATAACTTGAAGTAAAACCAGGTTTTATCTTGACATAAAACCAATAACAACAACAACATATAACATACCAAGTTTTATCTTGACATAAAACTAACAATAACAACGTATAGCATACCAAGTTTTATCTTGACATAAAACCAATAATAGCAACATACTTTATAAACATATAGAACTTCCGAATATAACTTCGGAACTATATCGCACACAACATATATATAGAATCCTAAGTATAACTCAAGATCTACATTTGTATAATAACATGATAATAAGTTGATAATAGTTGTATATATACAAAATATTATATTTAGAACAACTATATACTGGTTAATATAACTATCTACGTTGATATTAATATACTATCATATAGACATAATAGTAACATATATACAATATTTAGCATGCGTTTTCCCCCAAAAATGTTAGAAAGTGGGGCCGTGAAACTTACCCTAGAAGCGTGATTTTATGTAATCTAAGCAGAAACGGTCAGCGTACGAGGTCGTCGGGGCTCGGGATGCAAGTTGGCTTCAGCAAAGGAGAGAGGAGAAAGGGAAATAGTGTAAGGAATAGCTGAAGTCGGACCTGCTATTTATAGTAAGGATTTTGGACTCTCACGTCGTGAGTTTTATAAGGCTCACGTCGTGAGTCATGCATGCTCATCCTGTTGACTTGCCATTTGCATCCCTAGCTTCGAAAGGTGTCCCTTTGACTCCTCACGACGTGAATCAATCCTTGCTCACGTCGTGATTTTGGATGTCATCCCCTCGTAGCCTCGTCACACCTTCTAGATTCCGAGATGTGGCAAAATGACTCATCACGTCGTGAGTTCTGTGCGCACATCGTGAGTTCAGTCAGATTAGGGTTTCTGACATCAACACGGCGCAAAAGCTCGATGAAATGATGCTCAAAATGTTGATGACATTGTGCGTGAAAATAATAATTTAGAGTGAACTATTTACACTTTCACCCCTATACTTTAAATTTGCTGTCACTTTTACATCAAGACATAAACAGTTAAACACTACTAGTATCCCAATAAGCTCAACATAATCATTGAAATATAAGTTAAACACCTCTTTACTTTGCAAAAACAGTACAACTTACTAGCATGTAATCTCATTTTCATATCATTCTTACACCAGACACCTATAATGCTAGGCTCGCAACGGCTCATCGCTGTCTTCGGCATTCTCGGCATTTTGCGCCTCCAACTCATCTCCGTCTCCGGCATTTTCAGCATTATGTTCTCGACATATATTTTTTTTCTTTTGGTTTCAAACAGAAAGAAAACAAGAGCAGCTAAAGAATGAAATTAACCTAGAAGAAAATAATTTTAACCCTAGCTAACCGTACACGCATTCTCTCATATTTTCTTTCTTAATTAACGTGTGTGTGTGTATGTGTATATATATATATATATATATATATATATATATATATATTATATATAATATATTATATATATATATATATGCACACACACACACTAGTGGTGTACCTGCGCAAAGCGGCGGCGAAGAATTGTTTCCGGACGGTAATTAACTCATTTCGTTGAATCGTTTCCTTGTGGCAAAATAGTGATTAAAAATTTAATAATGAATCTTGTACATCAAATTGTACCGTAGGAAAGAACCATTAACCAAAACAAATAAAAAACAATAAACAGGCAATCTATCCTCTTAAGTACTTTGCCATGAAACAAAAGGTTCACGTGCATGAAATCAATCACTCGTATAGCTTTTGCAAATCATCCTTAAATTTGGCCTTCAATTGTTCCCTCTTTAACTTGAGTGCGGCTGTCACTAATCCAGATTCATGTGTCCATGGATCTGGCAGCAACTTTATCTTTGCTGCAAGCTCTAACTTGTCTAACTTTTCCTCTTTTCCTACCTACAAAACACAATTTAGAAGAAAAAGGTGGGAGGATGTGATGAACAAAGACAGAAACACCCTCATTGATATATAAGTTAAAACCAACTTTGGAGAGAGATTGGTGGACCTTGGAGACAGCCTCTTTTTTAGCACAAAGCTAACCATAATCAATGTAACTAATGCCACCACTTTTGGCCCATTACTCAAGAACCTGGTGTGCAGGGACTACTAATGATACACAATAACTGGTCTGTACGATTAGCTAGGGTTAAATGTCTTTTCTTCTAGGTTAATTTTATGCCTTAGCTGCTCTTGTTTTCTTTCTGTTCGAAACCAAAAGAAAAGAAATGTATGTAACTGAATGTTGAGAATGCCGGAGACGGAGATGAGTTGGAGGCGCAGAATGCCGAGAATGCCGACGACGGGGATGAGTCGTTGCGATCCTAGCATTATAGGTGTCTGGTGTAAGAATGATATGAAAGTGACATTACATGCTAGTAAGTTGTATTGTTTCATTCTTACCACACATACACACTCACAAAAGACATTAATTTTGTTCCAAGTGGAAGTGGAATGTCAACCGTAATAAGTTCATGCAAAGATTATATGATTGTGACGTCTGCGTATAGATGGTTGTAAACTTCGAACAATCGCGTAGAAGAAAAATGCAACAAATGAGGAGATTGAAGTGGCTAACATTGTGATTACGCATGCTTTAGACTTCATCAAGAAGTTGCCTCGAGCAAGTAAAAATGTCCACGTTAATTTCATTCTAATCATTTTAGTAAAAGTAGTAACATCATCAATTGATCATTAATGGTGTTTTTGTGAGAGGCTTACAATCGTAGATGAAAATGGGAGTCGATTATTGGTTGGGTAGAAAAAAAAAGAATAGCAACAAGGGCTTTCAAACAACTTCTTCCTTCCAATTAGAAACCTCCTGCTTTGGACTCGTAGTTTAATTTTTTTAATTTTTTTTTCATTATTGTTTTAATCAAACTATGCGAAAAGTATTGTTTACTCATTCCAAAGTAAGGTTGTTAGTTTTTAACAATTAATTGATACTCAAGTTTTCTATAATATTAAATAAATATATTTGAACATAAATATCTAGTCAAACTATACCAAACTATTATAGGTGGAATGTTTTTCCTTTTTATCTATTCATCTTCACCAAACATTATATGGTTACTGATTGACAAATACATATATAGCTTATACCATATACAACAAAACCACTGCCTTGAAAATGCATCAATCATCTAATAAAAATGCTGCCCTTTTGTAAATTAATTTAACATAGAATTTATAAGACCTAAACTAATCTCACAACCATATCGAATCCCTCAAACAATCTTGAGGTTTTGGTTTGATCTTGACGGGTTTACCAAGCTTAGAGTTATCTTCCATTCTTGCAATATGACGAGCCTTGTCAGAAACAGAAACAAGAAACCCCTTAGCATTATCCCATGATTCCAAAATTACCCTTGACCCCATACAAAGCTCTTTGTTGATAAAAAGCTGCAAATGGGCCAGCTGTGAGACCCTGATCATCACAGTGCCAATACCATCTTTTTCTTCTATATGCAAACTGCAATCATAGAAAACACGGCCATGTCGAACCTATCAAAAACTCATGTATTAAGTGAAAATTTTAAGTCATGTATTGTTTATGTTTACCTTGCATCTTAAGTGGCTTAAGTTGTGTGGAGGAGATCCGCCGATCCATCTAAAGGATCCAACACGAAATGATCGCCTTCTTTTATCAACCGAATAATAGTTTCTTGATACAAAAACCACGTTGTTTTTTTACATCTTTCTCAACAACATACCTGCATGGAAACATGACATGTATTTTTTTTATAAAGAAATAAATCTTTAAAGATTTTTACATAACTAATAATAATAAAAGGTTAACCGTGGTCCTCCTGCAAGACCCAAACCTTGGCGTTGACCAATTGTGTAAACCCAGAAGCCCCTGTGGACTTCTAATAATATACCTTCTTTTTCACCAATATGTCTTCCAACAAATTCACTTAACCAAATCTGTATAATAATTACATAAATTTCCACTTTATATATATAGATATATATATATATATATATATATATATATATATATATATATATATATATATATATATATATATATATATATATATATATATATATATATATATATATATATATATATATATATATCATCTCCAAAGTTGGGATTTTTGTTAACAAACATAACATAAACATACCTTCCCAAGAAAGCATATTCCATGTGAATCCCTTCTTTCTTGGTTAGGCAAATCAAATTTTCGGGCAAGCTTCATCCTGATAATTTGATTGGTTTAAATAGTAAATTCATGAATTCTGTTTTGTGTTTCAGAAAGCAAACTTACTTACTTTTGGAATACATCCAAGAGGAAGCGCTAGTCTTTTAAGCTGAGCTTGTGAGAGATATGAAAGAAAGTAGGTCTGATCCTTCACTAGAAATTCTAACATGTATCCCCTCACCGACAGGTATCAGGAAGTTGATAATGAAAATAAGTAGAGCATATCTTTACCATATCCTTTGACAGCTGAAGAAATGAAAGCTCATTGGTTTCATCTGTAAGGGGGTGAATAACTTTTGCATAATGTCCACAAGCAACACACTCAAAATCCATGTTACTAATAGCATCCATGTGATGGGTTTAGGCCATAAGAACATCCTATGTGCTCATGCAAACGCTAATGCTTGGATCTAGGTTTCTCTATTGTACATGCATTCATCCAAGACTATAAACCCTAGATCTAGCATGTGATAATCAATATTAACATATGAATTAGGGTTTAGATCATACCTTAATTGTTATGTAGCAATAACAATCTCAAAACTCCTTGTAATGGCTTTAGAAAGCTTAGAGTCACAAATGTCACTCCTCTAATGGTTCACAAACACCAAGAGCAAGAGGATGAAGAAGAGAAGAGAAGGAGGCTACCAAAAACGTGTGGAAACCCTAATCAACAAGTTCACCACGTTTTTGAGTCATAAGGGTCCTTTAAATAGAGAGGCTATTAGGGTTATCAAACAAGGAAACCCTAATTTGGATGCTTAAGCCCTAAGCAACCCATGGACTCCTTCCTTAAAGGCCTAGGACGATTTCTAATGGGTTTCCCCATAGAATTCGTCCACCCCTTTAATATGTAGTCCATTAGCTCAATATTCAACTATCATACAATTGACAGTTCTAGTCCCTTAAGTTTAATTAATCTCTTTTAGCCACAAAACTAATTACCAATTAATTCTTGACTAATATTAATTAAACAATATGATTTCTCCTTTAATATATTATTCTCATAATATATTAATAAATCATATTTAATCCTTTCTCTCCATAATTCATCCTATCAAGTTGCTTTGGTGAAGGCAACCCAAAAGGACCATGCACCATCGGGTCAAGTACATACCAAAATAGTTATGGACTTAGACACTAATCCAACAGTCTCCCACTTGGATAAGTCTAATAACTATTCTGCGTATGACTTCAGATCCTGATCTGCAATCGTAGCTTTCCAAAGCCGCTGTCAACTCTGATCTTATCAGATACGCATGTCCTTTAGATAAGGGATCATATATTCCTCCATTCTAGATATCGTATAGACTGAGACATGGATTTAAATCATTCTCTATGTCTATGTGTTGTTTCCCGATTTCCGATTTATGACGACTGACAACAGACTACAATTGAACACATCAAATTAGTCCCGTCTTGGCCAAGCGCTTAGGTGTCATCACTAAATCATCGAGGGGCCCACAAATATCGCTTTCATCCTACTTTGGATAAAAGGAACGGATAAACTTCGACTCAATGCTCGCTTGCACTCACTCACCGAATCACACACAACAATATGTTTTATGACACCAAGTTACTGGTGCGTTTACATATTATCAATGTGTAACCGACTCGCAAGATACAACTCACACATCTCGGTTTCAAGAATATAAGATGTTATCGTCTCACCAATCACTCGTGATAAAATCCATGAAGTGATCCAAGTGAGCGTGGGTTTAATCCAATGCTCAAATCATATTTATAAGCACTCATGAACGTTGCAGCAAACATTTGCTTATGTCTAATACACTTTAGAAAATCTACAAACCAATTCATGACAGTCTTCATTCATACCTACTTCCAACATATGAACGACTGTGGACCATTCGAATAATTTGATTATTCTGAAATAATTTAATTATTCAGGAAGTCAAAACATGCAAAGTGAAACACAAGAATAATACTAATCCTATATGGTCCCAAACCTTTGAGTATAAATAAAACACCTTTTATTTATCACCATATCGATTACTCATTATTTGTTGTTTCGGGTAATCAACTTCTTACTTGAATTATTACTACACTTGTCCCATGCTCTCAGCATGCACACAATGTTTACCTACGGTCCTTTCTTTGTGAAATAGATCAAATGAACACATTTCCAATCATACTCATTTCACAACTTCCAATCCTTTTCATAAGTATAAGAATATCAAATTCTTGTTACTTATGCTAGATTCTAACATTTTATGCAATGATTCTTTCGTAAAGTCATAGCTCAAAATCATCAAGACTTGGCCAATCTCTATCAGAAACAATTCTATAGATATGATGTCTCTCACTCAAAGTACATTCCTTTGAACATCCTTCTTGCATAAAAGTTTCTAATCTAGACATAGATTCTTAATATCCAACTCCCAATATGGAAACATTTCCATATTTGGCATATGACAATTCATTCTTAATAGAATCTTATCTATTCATATTAATGTCATCCAATACCATACTTCCAACTACTCACAAGCGACCAATCCTCAGCGAGCTTTGGATCGTCCTTTGATAGTTGTTTAATTATTTTAGTCAAAACCGATTCTAGTCCTTTTTCCCTCTAAATGCGCTAGACATTTTTGAAAATTTTAGAATGGTCAAATATTATAGCACTTGCAATCGATCCTATACCCGAAGCATATGGAACACGATGCATAATGTCTTACATAAAGATATGATGCTTTATCCATCTTCTGCCATAATATTTTATGTGTCTCGTTCTTACAATTCGAACTATGAAGAGGGATGCCGTAATCATAATCGAAATTTAAGAACACACTATGTATCCTTTGACTATTTTTATTAAAATTTCTCAATCTAAGCTTTAGATTTTGAAACGAAGTACAATATTCTCTCCCTTAATTATAGCAAAACAACTTTTCAACCCTTACGACTTTGCAAAGTATAACTATTGTTTTCTATAATTAATATTGCTAACTTGCAATACTTGCCTTAATAATCATACAAGCACAACATTTATGCTCCCACAATCATGATGATTATTATCGTATAAGCATAACACTTATGCTCCCACTAGCTTTGACATGTTTTAGAAAACAACTGAACTTCCAGAAAACATTACTTATTGAATTTCTGAAGTTCATATTTCTAATACCTAATGCTTTGATAATCCTTTATCTAAGCTTCTTAAACTTATACACCTTTGCCTTAGATAGCTCATATGTGTGTCTAAACAATCTAGACTTATTGCCAAATCTCACAATCGAATTATGGAAAGGGATGCCGTAACCATAATCGAATTCGAGAATACAATTTCACAATCACTATCTTCTTAAAATCTCTCTTAGTGAAAGCATTTCCTCACAGTCATTTTCATGAAGGAGGGAATCTTATGACACTTAGATTTTAATGGTGTATGTGTTCCTATCCATGCGAATTTGTCAAAACCAAAGTTTGCGACAAATCCAAACTCATATGGACTGAACTTTCTCAATCTTGATTTCTTGCCTTATGGTAACACGAGTGCCCACCATGTCTTCCAAGTAGTTAAGCAGCTCACCCTTTCATATCAACCTACTTTTCATTGATCAAGGTGCTTGCCTTTTATGCGTTCAAATGAGAACTCATAGAACTCACATGCATAATTAACTTAATTGGAATGGCACAGAAACAAAATAATGTCAACACGATAGGTTGTAAACCTCAAGTCGTGTGCTAGTGATGATCGATAAGGTTTATTCTCGATTAGTTCTTGAAACTTTTCAAGACCATTAAGACTCCCACTGACTCCTTGACATATAAGATTCTTTTGTCAATAAACATTTCTCGACAAACAAATATTCAAGAGTTAGTGTAGTTTTATCAAGACAAAACACTTCACTAAATTGGCCCTAGTTGGTCTTTGTCTTATCCAAGACATCACAACTTTCCAATTGTGCAAGAATAAGAAAACCTTTTCAAATTTCACATTTGATGAATGTTATAAACCTTCTTAAGACTTGTCACTCAATTCACAATCTTAACTCTAAGACTTGGTTTTGGAACGAAGTATGATTGACTTCTTGATTTAACCATTTCTTCAATTCTTGATTCCTCTTCTCAGACATACAATTGCACTAAGACTCACTTAGAGGATCAATTGAGATATGGTTCTTAATCATTAAGACCTATCATAAAACATAATAAAAAGGTACTCTCCCTTCTTCTTAGAATAGAGAAACTTTTATCTTTCTGCCTACTGATTCTTCTTATTCGTTTGCTATTTATTGAAACTCTTTCAATCAATTGAGAATTACACTTAATCTCATAAGTATAATCATATTTACTTGACCTTAGTAAATCATGACGAATATCTTTGTTACTCTTGTGGTGGACTTGATCAACACACAACCTTGTGTACTCGATCTCCTAGTCCTTCACTTGACACTTTGTCAATGAATTAGTCTAATTTCCAAATATGAAATTTCTCATTCATCATGCAACCAAGTTGTATGATTCCAAGTTTCTGTCCAATTGAAACTTGGGCGATGAGAAACTTTCCCTATTTGGTAAATTCTTGACCTTTCCACAAATAACATAATTAAGAATCAAATCCATTATTGCTAATAATAGAAACTTACATCAATTTTTCATACACGCCATTGCAAGGATAAATAAATAATATAAAATCAAAATTTATATTATTGCGGAAAAATTTGTCCTTACAATGCAATTCAACTGAAAAACTATGTTGTTAAATATTCCTAAGCAATCTATTCTAACTCCAAGTAGTAGCTTAAGATTCTAATCTTCAAGTAATGCGATCAAAATCCATTTCTTCACGATTAGATTCCGCTCACTTCTTCCCTTAAGATTCCTCTCTTTTCTTCGATCCTACAAGACATCGAAATGTAATCTTATCACATTATGTATTAAGAATCTAGAATAGGAACTTAAAAGAGTTAGTTAATGGATTTTACCTAAAGTAGAGCCATACGTTTTGACTCTCCCATCTCTTAGATCTCTTA